TTATATCTACTTATATATCTACTTATTATATCTACTTATATCTACTGGTGATTCTACTTTTGCTGGATATTTTGATAGAGTTGAAATAATAGGCCTTGCTTTGAGGGGATAAGATATTTACCGATAAATAAAATTTATCTTAAAATCTATATGCTTTAACCATATTATTGAGGTATACTTTATTTACCATAAGATACAGCCATTAAAAACCTGACCATTTCTAGGAAATTTTTATAGTTGTATAATGAGCATCACAAAAGTTCTTTCATTTCGGATTGTAGTCAATCCTCATCCTCACCCTCACCTCACCCTTACACATCCATTCATCTGCTGTCTCTATGGTTTTACCTTTTCTGGAAATGTCATAAACTATAACCATGTAATATGTTGTCTTTTGCATATGACTTCTTTTACTTAGCATAATGCATTTGAGGAATAGAATGCTGATTTCATGGAACATCCCAGTTTTTGGCCTAATAACATATTTATTACTTCTGTTCTGCTTTCCAGTTCATTCAGTATTGCCTGGAGTCCTGAAAGCTAAAAAGTGTTCACCCAAGGCACAAAATTGGTCTCTATCCACCTGAAGTAACAGAAGAAGAGAGATATTCAGGAACAGAAGGATGATATGGGAAGTGTGCCTAATTGTCTCCATGAACAATTACCTCCTTTGCCATGAGACCAGAAGAACTGGATGGTGCCAGGTGAGCATTGCTGAACACTTTGATAAAAGACTCTATAGAAGAAACCTGATCAAAAGGGAAAATAAAGAACATTTCAAATTCTCATGGAGACCAGACTTTATGGAGCTATGGAGATTAGGTGAATCTCCAAAACTATTGCCCTGAAAGAATCTTTAAACCTTAAATCATAATATTTTAGCTTAACCAATCAAGAATATCTGTCTTGAGCACGATATTCTTTTACGAATTATATATATGGACTGAACTGGATTGAAATGAGGTGGAATGCAGAACAGAATTTAAAATCCTATAGAATCTATTTCCCTAAAGCCAGGGGAGCTAAATGTTGTATTTTTCATCGTTGCTAAATCGCACCCTGACTGGCTCATCTCCTCCCTGAGACCCCTCTGCAAGGGGATCTCCA